CACCATCTCCACACTCTACAGCTTATTCTCCACCATCTAGTCCCTCTCCCTCTGATCATTCCTCACCATCTCCTTCCCCTCCAGCACCACCCCCTTCCCCACCACCACCTAATCCTGTTAGAAAATCAGAAAGAGTTCACAAAAGACCATCTCATCTAGTCCAAAACTATCACTGTTTCCTTTCACAGGGTCCTAGCAGCATCAATCATTCAACTCTGCAACAGATCCAAAACAAAAGGTATTCTTTTTCCTCTATGCTTTCTTATGACAAGTCAACCCCAGCTTTCCAAAAATTCTTGTTCAACATCTTAGCCACTAGAGAACCTCAGTCATACAAAGAGGCTTCTCAAATTGATGTTTGGAATCAAGCTATGCAACATGAAATCCAAGCACTCATCAAAAACCACACCCGGGATGTGGTTTCTCTTCCCAAAGGTAAAAAACCAGTTGGAAACAAGTGGGTTTACAAAGACAAATTCTTCTCTGATGGTTCTCTTGAAAGGCACAAAGCCAAATTGGTTGCCAAAGGCAACACTCAACAATAAGGTTTGGATTTCCAGGACACCTTTGCTCCTGTGATTAAGATGACTACAGTCGGAACTTTTCTTGCCATTGCAGCAATGAGGAATTGGCATATTCACCAGTTAGATGTGAATAATGCTTTCCTTCATGGAGACCTTGAAGAAGAAGTCTACATGACTCTTCCCAAAGGCTTTGTTCCTCCACCAAATATTCCCAACCCTGTCTGTCGATTAAGGAAATCACTCTATGGATTAAAACAGGCCTCCAGACAGTGGTTTTCCAAGTTGACAGACACCCTAATCAGAGTTGGTTATGTTCAAAGCAAAGCTGATCATTCTCTTTTCTACAAGGCAACAGACACCAGCTACTCATGTATACGGATTTATGTTAATGATCTAGTCCTGGGGGGCAATGATATTTCAGAAACCAAGACACTCAAGAAGGTTTTGGATAAAGATTTCAGCATTAAAGATTTGGGCAATCTGAAATTCTTTCTTGGAATCGAAGTGGCAAGAAGCACAACAGGTATTCATTTATCTCAGAGGAAATACACTCTTGAAATTATTGAACAAGCTAATGTTCTGGACAGCAAATCAGTTTCAACACCTATGGACTACAAAGTTCATCTTAGCAATGATCCTGATTCACTATTTGAAGATCCTGAGCTCTACAGAACATTAGTTGGGAAACTTGTTTATCTGACAACAACACGTCCAGACATCAGCTATGCTACGCAACAGCTCAGCCAGTTCATGTCTTCACCCACAGATGTCCATTATAAGGCTGTTCTTCGAGTAATTCGTTATCTCAAAATAGCTCCAGCAACAGGGTTGTTCTTCCCATCCAAAGGCAATTTTCAATTGACGGCCTTCACTGATTCTGATTGGGCTGCTTGTGTTGACACAAGGAGGTCCACCACTGGTTTCTGCATCTATTTAGGTGATTCCCTAATCTCCTGGAAAACCAAAAAACAACATACAGTCTCACGATCTTCTTGTGAAGCTGAATACAGGGTACTGACATATACATCTTGTGAAATTCAGTGGTTGCAATACCTGCTCCAAGACTTCAAAGCATCCTCTTTATCTCCTGCAGCCCTCTATTGTGACAATCAGAGCGCAATTTACATTGACAAGAACCCAACCTTCCATGAGAGAACAAAACATATAGAACTTGAGTGCCACTTTGTCCGAGAAAAATTACAATCTGGGCGTCTCAAGCTTCTCCACATTTCCTCCAATCACCAGCTCGCCGATCTCTTCACAAAGCCCCTGTCACCAGCACCATTTACTTCTTTGATCTCCAAGCTTGGTGCGCGAAATCTCTGCCCACCAGCTTGCGGGGGGGTATCAGATTGAAAATCCAGTTTTCAGCTTTTCCCTCGTCTCCAGCGGTCGGATTCGTGGACAACGACGTTTTTCTTCTCATCGCTGGACTCCCTCGCTGCGACACCATTTCCACTTATCCACTGCGCAGCTGATTCAATTCCGAGACTTATGCGGTGTCGTTTTTACCTTCCCTTTTATGTCTGTACTTTCTTTTCCGCCAAGTTTTGTTTGTTTCCCTTCCAAGCTTCCAAACAAGCTGTAATGGAGCTTGTCTCCTTCACTTCTATATCGCCTATATAAGGCAGACAAAGCAATGAGAAAGTACAGGATTTTAGGGTTTTCATTTCCACAAACTCTTCTTTATTAGTTAGTGACAAATGTGAAATTTTTTTAGTCATTTCAGTGATCAAACTTGCAATTTACTCATATATAGATTTGATGTAAACAGATAAAAAATATAATGAAAATTGAAATCACATAATGAACCCACTCCAGATTTACTCTTTTTCCCCTTCCTTCTTCGTGTTACCAAATTCCTTCTACTAAGAGCACAAATTAATAGCAGAATCTCTGATTTCAACTCCAACTTTTCCTCTTCTCTTCTGCTTCATGCCCCCATTGCTACTGCGAGTTCATCAAGATCAGATTAAATTGAGCTTCATTCTCCATTTGCTTCATTCAACCTCACTCAGCTACGAATCGTGATCTGAATGCTCCATTCTCAAGAAGAATCGCCTATTTTAATCCCCGTAAAGAAACAAAAAGTAGAATGAGTACCCAAGCAAGCTACAATCCAGTTAAACTGCTCACACGATGCGGATGGATGAGTCCCCACGAGCAGAAGCTGAAATCGACAGTTGGGGTGGAGTGGCTCAAGGAAGGGCTCATTTAAATGAATTTTGGTGGTTTTTTGGGCTGAGAGCCAAGTCAGCCAAGAGAACTAGTACCCAGAATGTGAAAACTAGTACGAAAATACACGAATTAGTATCCATTTGTGTTGAGAAATGAGAGAGAAAGCATGAGTCCACCACCTGCTGTTTTTTGTTCCTTTTCACATGGGAGAGAGATTTAGCATTTAATGACACCCACCAACTATTCTTACACAGGAGAGAGAAGGCATCCATGAATAATATTCATATCATCCAGACTAGTAGGGTTGGAAGTTTGGTATCGGTATTTGGGATATACCGAATACCGTATAGAATTTGTCTGTATTTGATATTACTGTATACACGTATTATTTTTTGGGATTTGGATTGAGATTTAATTTCAATTGTTATTTGGTATTAGGGATTATTAGATTGGGATTGGTATATACCGAAATACCGATCAATACCAAAATGTAAGCAATTGTGTATTTTATCCTCTCAACTAGACTCTCTCATTCACTACTACACGACCTTAAACCACCAAGAGTCTCATTTGATTATACATAGATCATTCCATCACTATTTCACAACTTAGAAGTCCCCATGCAACTCAAATTTGACTTTCCAATTTAAGTCAATCTCGTCCCTCACCTAATCTCTTGTAATTTTTATAACACCAAAATGCAAAAACTAGTATTAGTCATCTCTCAACCTCCAATTCGTCAAATTAAAGATTATCAATGACAAGAACTTAAAGATTTTCATAACGATTGGGATACCGAAGTACCGATTGGGTTACAGAAATATTTAGGGATTGGGATTGGGATACCGAAATTATTTAGGATTGAGATTGAGATTGATTTTAGTATTTAATTCGGTATTCGAGATTTCGGTATTTGGTATCGGGGTACCGATACTGTACCGATTTCCACCTCTACAGACTAGTATTGTTGTAGTAACCATGTTTTGTTGAACACTAGTTTGCATTTCGTTTTAATGAACTAGTATTCAGATATCATGAACTAGTATCCAGTCTTTGATGAATTATTATTCAGATTGCATGAGCTAGTATACAAAATGCACGAACATGTATTCATATGTGTTGAAGTAGTTTCCATGTTTTGTTGAACACTTGGTAGCATTTCTTTACTGTTTTAATGCACTAATATCAAAGTTTTGATGAACTAGTATTCTGTTGTATGACCATGTATTTGGTACATAGAAGAACAAGTATTCATATGGCGATATGCATATTATGTTAGAGATCTTCTTTCCGACATTTGAAGTAGATATCACAGAATACTCAGAACTTTTTTTCCCCAAAGCTTAACTAGCAAAGCACAAACACTACTGCTTCTTTTGAAACGCAGATTCATAATTTAGGATACAAATTCGAAAGGAAAATGGAACCCTAGAAATCGAATTGGGAAGAAAAAATATAACAATCGGCGGAAAGGAAACCCCCACCACAAGCAACGAAACCTGGAACATCATATATCTAAACTAAATTAGAGGCAGCCCAAGCTCCAATCACTACAAAGAAGACAGACAGTTGTGATGAAAACCTAATGACGACACTTTTTTTTCCAATGAAATGGACATTTTATAGTAAAAAATTATTATTATGAAAAAAAATTGTATGCGGATGAAATTACTAAAAAACTTGTCGAAAATAATAATTTAGGCAGATTTGAGGAATCGTGGGTCACAAATAGCGTAGGGTTTTGCGAAGTTTCTCGATTTCACGGGGAAAGGAGGAAAAGAAAATAAAATACATTTTTAAAAATTATTACATCATTTCGCATCCCATTGAACCATGAAATAATGGAAGTATGGACACAATAACATTTCTGTAATATGTTCATAATTGAAGGGACACGATTTGTGTAATTTGTTAATGTGCAATAATTGAAGGACACAAATTGATATTATCCCTAATAAAAAAAAAAATAGTCTCAGACTCTCAGTTACATCTTTCTTGTAATGCAGTTTCGATCACATCTCATGGACACATTGCATCGTCCGAAGAAACGCACCTAGGTGGGAATTACCATATCATCACTTGTTAATTATCATTACATTACGTCCGTACAACTCGCATCGATTTATAGAGATCCCTATTTGGCGGCCCAAAATCCAAACCCCATCGAACCTATTAATAAGAGGTGGATGCGTACATTCAATCTCACCACATCCCATTCCCGAGCCCGTAAGCTTCTTAATCAGAAGAGACTGATTATTAATCTAGGGAAGGCAATGGCGAAGACTCAAACTCCGTTGATTGCCTTTATCTGGGTTCTGGCCGTGGCCAGCTCCATTATCATGTCTGCCGCTGCCGCGCGCCCCACTGCAGCCATCTCCAGTAGTAGCAGCTCGCAGACGACGAATAACAAAGTTATTGAGGCGCAATGGCACGGCCATCATTATGACGGTCATCACAACGGTCACGGTGGTGGTAATTAATTACCATTTCTGCACGTGACATAGCGCTCTATCGCTTTCATTCGTTTCCAATTAATTAAGCTTCCTCTGCATGTTTTGGGTCTTGGACATCAACTGAGTTTCATATGTTCTTTTCTTTTGTATGCTTCATATTTATCAAGAACATCAGCGCAAGTTGTGAATGAACCGCCATATCGATGGAGCTAGCGGGATGTGGTGTCTATCTATCTGTCAATGGCGTAATGTTGGAGGAGCATTGAGCTACTGTATCTGTTTGTTGTCTGTCAATGTTACACAATGTTGTATTAATGATATTATTATTATTATCTGTCCACGTTATTTCATGTCATTTTCTGTTATCGCTATGAAACTATAAATTCATAAAAGTTATGTGTCACCTGTTTAATTTCCTTCCCACAAAGCAGATCACAAGAAAAATGTACTGCTTTTCTTTTAAAAAAGTTTTGAAGAACCAGGTGGGTCGAAAATAATTAAATATAAATAGAAAGAAAAATAATTATTTTAAAAGTATAAAAGTTCTTTGAAATCATTGAAACATCAATCAAATAACATCTAAACTAAATGTTTTTGCTATCTTTCTTTTAATATAGTACAAAAATAATTGAAATACTCAAAATAAAACAAAATGTGAGGTAGTTGTGAATTGAACCGGGAGGTTCACACTAAAAACTAGATTAGCTACCAGTATACTACATGATAGTTATACAAACTAATGTTCTGGACGAGTCCTGCTTATTCAATTTTTATTTAAATATCCTTAATGTCCTAGGGGCCTGGACTATGACCGGGGGGCCGGGGCCCACCCTACCTTGTAAGTAGCTCCGCCCCTGTTATTAACTGGAGTGTCTCCCCTGTTCCGTGGAGATAGGAGGAGTTAGGAGGGGTGAGGGCCCAGATGAACAAAAGCTAAACAAAACTTCTGCCTTTCCTAATAATCTAGAAATTCCCGACACCGGCATCAAAATTTTGACTCGCTAAAACACAACTTCTAACAATAGCCAAGTGTAACTAATAAAAAAGGACTACAGTGTAGTGGCACAAGTAATAAATATCGAATCCATGGGTCTCTAGAGTTACTATTATTCATCATTCTCTTCCCGTTGGAAAAGATTTTCCCTCAAACTTGTAGGTTTAAGCAAAAGAAATCATCATCACAATATTCATAAAAAGGATCGAGAAAAGCCATAGTCCTCTACCGTGACCATCTCGTAGAAGTCTCCATCTTCCTTCTGCGATTCTAGACAGTTGGTCGACGATTCAATCTCTTCGAGTTTCTTTTGCTCTGGAGTGCCTGGTGTTGGAGAAACCACTATGTTGCCTTCAAGGAACTCGCCAGAAGCGATGAAATCCTTTGACTCGTCCTCTAGCCAAACATCGAACTCTGTTTAGCCATTGGTTTTATCTTCGCCGGCGGAAAAAGAGAATCTAGCCGCTTGTTAATCTGATCGAATTGAACTTGGAATGTTGGGTTAAATTGCTTCGTGATGGTCTGCAATAGTTCTGCGACATTAACCTCAATATGCGGCTCATACATTGCTTGTTCTTCCAAGAGTGCTTCCAGAAAGCATTCTTTTTGCCACCATGTTGAACCGGGTTTCTGATACCACTTGATACAAGCACAGATCCGACACCCATAGTTATCAAAGTAACGCAATTAAGATCAAGAATAAAAGATAAGGATAAGACAGAATTGAAGTGAAATCTCACACCTGGGAGAAGGCTTTATCAATATCAGAGAAGAATCTTGACCACAATCAAGGTGAAAACTCGATTGATACAGAAAAGAATTCACAAGCAAAACTCGATTGATACAGAGAATAATCTGAAACCGGCAAAAATTAACCTGAAACTCGTGTTTAAACCTTTATATAGGGTAGGGAAACAGAAAAACTCGTCCAAACACATAAAAAGAAAAGAAATCCTAAGCCGAATAGGAAACTAACTCGTCAGACCCCCGATCCCCGATTTGGGTCTTCGAATCCCCCCAGGGACATGGTTAAGCACGGGGAATAGGCCCTGTTAAAATCCCCTGGGTATCTCTTAAAATCCCAGGGAGAGGATTTTTATCTTCACCTAGGGAATTTTGGCCCCATCCACCTTCTTGCTCACACGTGGCACACCCTTCTTCCCGTTTCGATTTGGGTTACTCTGGAAACTCTGAAAGCTCGCATCACATGCCAGCCTAAATAAATTGGCAAGTGTAAGTCCATCAAACACTACTCAATTTCTTTGCATTTGGATTTCATATCCAACGTAAGTACGTGAACCAATTGAACTGAATTGAATAAGTAAATACTCATGTACATTTGGACAAAATTTTCAACCCAATCCCATGTCCTTAATAGACTATCTTGCATCTTAAGTTTATTCATGAAATTGCCATGCATCCATAAAACGAAACCATGGTGAGGGATATCTTACAACAAAAAAGAAGGTGGCCTAAGAAATTTATTGAAGTAGCATAACGACATGTTTGTGTGCAACCAAAATTTTAAACGCAACCAAAAATACTTGGCCGTGGCATTAGTTAGTGTCCAAGTATCTGGCCTTCGGCCATGGCAATGGGCTCATCTCATATATAGGTGGCACACATACGTACAACATGGGAATCCTTTTTTTAATAAACGTGATGGAGACCATTTAATTGATTGAAAATGATTCTAGTTGTCGACAAGTCAATATTTACACTTTTACATCCAGGATATGGTGGAGACTGAAATCTTACCACAGTTTTTAAGAATCCGATTTAGGTTTTAAAGGAAGTGTTATCACTTGTAGTACATAATCATATCATAGTGCTTTGAAGTATTTATTTGTTCAACATATATATTGTCACAACTGTTTCTAAGGATCGTGAAATAGGAAAATCGATACAGCGACAAAACAAAAGCAAGAAACGAAACAAAACACGTAAATTTACGTGGTTCACTAACACGATATGTGCTACCTAATTCCCGTACATGAGAAAATCAATTTCACTATATTTCGAAATGATACAGAAAGATTACAAAAGAGTATGAATTGACATCCATTCCGTGACCATTATAATTCCACCATCTTTTTCATCCATTTCAATTCATTTAATCAGAAGAATCGGACCTCGGTGGTAACCGTTATTTTGTTTAGTAATAGATTCTTCTTGCTGTCCAAACTCCAACGGAATCAACACTATAAATAGGTGGTGGCCAAGTACATTTTGATCTCGCCACATCCCAATCAAAGTCCTCAAAGCCTTTCTACATTCACTACTTTCAGGTTGAATTTGGGGGATCGATCGAGGCAATCACCAACAAAAAAAAAAAAAGCAATGACGGCCAAGACACGAACTCTGTTGATTGCCTTTGTATGGCTTCTGGCGGTGGCCTCCATTGTCATGTCTGCCGCCGCCGGCGGTCGCCCATCAGCCATCTCCGGCGGTAGCTCAAAGACCAACGATGTTCATGTTCAGCATTGGTGGGGTTTTCACCATCATCATGATGATGACCATCACTACCACCACGGTGATGATCACCACCACCACCACCATGACTGAAATCATCGCAAGCTGTATCGATCGAGCTAGCGGGGTGTGGCGTGCTATCTATCTATCTATTATATATTTTTATTTATGTCATGAAACAAGAAAAATGGACGAGAGAGATGTATACCAGTGTTGATTACGCGCGCACAATGTTGTTATCTTAATTGAAGATTTTACATATCCGTGTTATTTCATGTTATTTTATGTATGAGCTTTTCTATACTAATTATGAAATTATCGACTACTGAATGTTGATTTTATGTGTACCAATATTTCGTTGGGACCGGCGGATTAGGGATAAAGTATATATATACTGGTCATTTACGAGAATAAAAATGTTTCTCTGATTACAAAGAAAGTTACTCAAACAATTCTTTTTTTTTTTTTTTGACAACTTACTCAAACAATTCTTCATATATATACTGAACTAGATCTTATGCGCCACGCTCTGCTGTGGCAATTGAGTAAGCGCGTGATTATTACTAATCCAACAATCTAGCTATAAGACCCACAATTACGGAGGAATATCTTTCTCATAATATTTATTGTTATCACTTTGGAAAATTAGCAATAATTTTTCTCCGGTCTTTTGGAAATCTCTTTAATGTAGTGTGGCAAGGTAATGATAGTTAAAACAAATTTGAGACATAAAGAGATTATTTTTCCAAACGAATCATTTATAACCAGACGACCCTTTGAAGGACGGTACAAAATCAAAGAACGTCGATAAGTTGAGAGAGAGCTCATAGATCTCACTGTAGACGATCCTTAATTGAAAATGTGCGCTCAAGATAGCAGGACCTTAATTTCCTCCAAATAGTAGGTTCTGCTAGTGGCAGAATTCGAGGAAGTCTTTCATCTTTGTTATCTCTCATACCACTTCGAAAATGATGAAACTAATGCAATGAAGGCGAAGACACGTGTGACTCCGTGTGAGACAATTTTTCCTTCTTGAACTCCTCACAGTGGATCATCGATTCAAATTCGGAGATCTGCTATAAAATTGGGCATTGCCAAAGCTCGATTCCCTTGGGATTGAAGACTTTGAACTTCATGGTCAACTCCTCCATACCAGAATTTTCCATTCGAATTCTCTTGATTATGCTTATCTAGAAAATGTTAGAGTTTTTTTATTTTAGGGAATTGAAAGTGTTGGAGTTTCTCAAACAGGATTTGAGAAATTAAAGACAATGGTCGAGAAGACATGTGAGGCAAATTTGAGCATTTAAGCTTACTGCAAGGATTCCGACTACGATTACTCGGAGTATGGAAAAGGTTATACGTGCTTGTGCATGCCAGAATTTGACGACTGAAGACAATGAGGAACATGATGAGGAGAAGAGGTGGAAAAAATAATTTTTTTTATTGACATGTAAAATATGAAATAAATCGATAAATCGAGTTATCATACAGCCATCAACCATAATTAAATCCCACACATACGAAAACTAAATTGGTTGTGAAGTTACTCTAAGGTGGAATATGTTGGAGAATATAACCAAAGGCCTCTCACTTATGTTAATAAATGCCAACAAAAGAAAAGAAAAGGAGTCACAAGCTAATTAGCTAATTAAGCTCACAGTCTCTGGTAGTTTCTCACTTCTCAACCACACGTTGATAACAATATAGAGTTGGTGGATCATGAAAAAATGACAATCGTGTGAGATAAGTC